ACTATAGAATAAATATAATTTTCCTATGTACACTAATGAAAATACTTAAGTGAATCCCACCATTATGTCCACCCACAAAAACTGAGTCTTAATTAAAATAAGATATATCTTATGCTTGTACAATTTTATCAAAATGGATTCTACTGTCATGTATAAATAAGAAGAACCAATAAAAAAAATAAAGTCTAAATTCTATCTTTATAAAAACTAAATGCATGAGTATGTACTATAAGTTTCTATAAAATGCCAGGATCATTATCAATAGAAAAACCTTACAAGAATTCCCTTTCAAATAAAAAATAAATTATCACTAGCATTTTAATGATTTCATTTTTTTTTGAGAATACTGTATAATAAAGTTAGTAAAGATGAACAAATTAATTTAAAACTGACAGTGAGAAAGTAATTATACAGTTCTCCCAGGTGATATAATAGTATTTAGAAAGTAGGAGAGAATAAACTAGAAAAGCAATACAGAGAAGTAAAATTCAGTAAAGTGATTAGGATATTAATGCATACAAATCAAGAGCATTTAGGTAGAAGATGGAAGACTGGAGGAAAAGTGCACACTCTAGCAATTCTTCAAGACTGGATTTAAAGTGGGAAAACAGCTTCTTGGTGAGGTGGGTAAATGGGGGAACTCACTGAAATTTAATGCTGAACTGTAAAAAAAATAAAAATAAAAAACTACAGTGTCACAGATGTCAGAAACATAAGCATAAGAAATATTTGTTAGAGAGCCTCCAGCCTGGCTGCCAGTCTCTATAGAAGGAAGGGAAAGAGCAGACAAAGGAAATGGTGTGGGTGTGGGGGAGGAGGGGTGGATAAAGACATTAAAAAAATAAAGGTTACTTGGAGTAACCTGTGGATTAGAGAAGAAGGTTGAATTTAATACATGCAGAGTTCATAGGGAAAGCGAATTTGTGAAAGCAAATCCAAAAAGAACTCCCACAGGAGCAGAAGCATTCTGGGCACAGAAAAAGGCTGCTAGTTCCTCGTGGCACTCCCACTGCCAGGGGAAGCTGAGCTCACTCTGTTGGAGAAGGTGACAGTCACTCTTTAGAATCATGCTACTAGAGCAAATGTCCACTCAGCTGATGTAGCCAGGGAAAATAAGCACTTAGACTACCAGAGAAGCAACCTCCTGCTGAATTCCTGTGACTGGGGAAAGTTTGTGCTCCCTTTCAAGCAACCTAAGAGGGTAGCCTCAGTTGCATCCCCACAACCAGAGAGAGTGACTGCCCTTTGAGGAAAGTGCATGCTCTTGTGGCCCTCTCTACACTCCCATCACCTGCAAAAGACCCCTCCTGCCAAAGCTCCCTCAGCCAGGTGACAGGAGGTCAAGAACCCTGGCAGCCAATCAAAGATTCCCAGAAGGCACCTGAACCCAGGGAGACTGAAACTGGCACAAAGAAAAGTTTGTCTCGATCATTCAGACATTGGGTCCCAAGGAAGAAATTTTCCATTGTTGCTGGTACTACAGCAGCCACAGAGGAGTGTCTTCACTAGAGGGTAGATACCTACCTAGAATTTCATATTCATAGTGCAGAGGGTGAAATGTGGAAGTTTTGCCCCTAGGCCTTAAAAGTGGAATTTACCATAGACCCTAGGGCTCCAAACAACCTGCAGAGACCAGCATCCCCCTCCAAAAGGAAGTGTAGAGCAATTCTCAAATACCTATCCACAGAGTTCCAAAGTTTGTTCTAGACTGAAGCCCAATCACTGGAATCTCTGTAGAATTCTGCAACACCGAAACCATAGACTTTCTCAACATCCAAATTGTGCTACCCCACTGTATCCCAGAAGACTAGATACTAGTAAAGTGATTAGGATATTAATGCATACAAATCAAGAGCATTCAGGTAGAAGCTGGAGGAGTAGAGGAAAAGTGTCCATTTCAGCAGTTCTTCAAGGCTGGACTTTAAAGTGGGAAAACAGCTTCTTAGTGAGGTGGGTAAATGGGGGAACTCTCTGAAATTTAATGCTGAACTGTAAGAAAAAAAAATCCACAGTGTCACCAGCTTGGGCTTCTAGCCACAAAGGCTAGCAGCTAAGAGATGAACACAAAGGCATTGGGCTCAATAACTTCTAATTCTCCATCCAGTATTTCTATATAGGTGGCAATTAGTATTATAGATATCAAAGCAAACACTGGACATTCATCTCAAAACTGTACATCTGCAACTGAAATAAGTGTTACTCCTGGCTCCCACTCCCTCTAAGAGGGGCTAGAAATGATTGGGACAATGGAAGACTACCAAATAGAGATCCTGCTTTTGAAAAATGCTCAAAAATTAGCCAAGCAATGATGGTTCTCACAATACAAATGATCTAGCCCCACTTGAGTCTAAACGTTACTTCCACTCATATAATTGGGGATACAAAAACACCAAACCAAAAATCAGACCCCCAGGAAGAACAACCATAAGGAAACTTCAGGTCATACCCCTTGATATCTACTCATATACCATGAACAGAGAGGAATACTAAAATAAAAAGAACTACATACTTAAAGGTATGCATATACCTTAAGGAAGAGAATGCATCTCAATTGATACAAAAGTCCAGGACCTCTGAAAACATAAGGAAACAGGCAAAAAATCTCCCGCCAAAATTTACTATCTCCCAATTAAGGAGCCCACATATGTGGAAAAGGATAAAATTCCAAAGAAATGTTATTAAAAAACTAATAATTAAAATGTTCAATGAACTAAAAAAAAGATCTAAAGAGTAAATTAGGAGCAGAAATATGGGAAATAAAATACCATGTCGACAAAGAAATAGAAATATTGAAAAGAAACCAATCATAAATTTGGAAATGAAAGACATGATTAATCAAATAGAAAATTCACTGGAGGGCATCATCAACAGATTAGATTGCATAAAAAAAGGAAAGGGGTCCTTTCAATCACAGATTCCATTAGGAGTAGCAATGTCTTTAAAAATGATAAAATAACTAAAAATCAGTGTATGAACATACTAAGTTAGATAAGATGTTACTTCAGGATGCAAGAAAATACAAAAAAGAACCAAACATAAGAATTATAAGGACTAAAATGAAAACTCAATATATGGGCTAGAGAACAGATTGGTTGGTCCTAAGGAACAATTTTATGATATTGGAAATCAGATGATGAAAATCTTCCAATGATATTTTGGCTCACAGTTTTAAGAGGTTTCACTCCATGATCTTTGCCTCCATTGTTTTCAGGCCTATAACCTAAAATAAGGCAGAAATATCATGGATGGTGGAAGGACATTGTAGAGGAAAGCTGCTTACCTCACATTGACTGGTGAGGATAGAATGAGAGAGAGAGGAAGTGGGGACAGCTTGTGCCTT